TATCCAGAGAGGCAAATCCACAGAGAGGAAAATAGATTCATGGTGGCCTGGGGCTGTCAGGGAAGGAGGAATTAGGGCGTGATGGTTAAGTGGCACAGGGTTTCTTTTTGGGGGGGCAATGAAAAAAATTCTGAAATTGATCATGGTGGCAGAAGCACAATTCTGTGAAGATACTAAAAGTTGCTGACTTCTACACTTTAAATGGTGAGTTTTATGGTGCGTTGATTATGTCTCCATAAAGCTATAAAAAGAAAAAAAAATATCCTACTGCATAGGGCTCTCTGAGGACTAAATGAGTCAGGACTACAATGTCTGTGGCATAATGTCTGACTTTGGTAGGTGTTCAAGAGATGTTGGCTTTTAATCTGTTGATAATCCTTAAATCTTAAAGGGTTTATATAAAACCTTAAAAATGTGTCCATGGTCAGTGTAAGAATGAGGTGACCTCTGGCATCCAGGACTTGTCTTCAGGAGGTGGCCCTCCTTGTCCCTAGGCCCTGCCCTTTGTTTTCCTGTCAAAGTCCTCCTGGTACCATAACCCAGTTCAAGTGCCACCTCTGCAAAGCCTCCTGTTAAATATCTGGGGCATTTTCTGTAGTGCACCCTACATTCAGAGGCAAGCTTTGTCACCATCTGGCTTTGTGAACACACTGACCAGTGTGGTGGTGTCCACGTCCAGCTCCGGGGCTCCAGTGCGAGATCCCGTGGTGAGTTCTCCAAGCACACTCTCCAAACATACTCCTTGGCAGGAGAGACAGTTCTTGTGACCTCTGTCCTCTGGTGTGTTAACCCTGTGATTACAAGATGCTACATGGCCCGAGGGATTTGTTTGATGCAATTAAGGTTACTAAGCAGCTGAGGTGCTGGGGAGCTGGGAGGGGCTGACACAATCCCAGGAGACCTATGAAGGCAGTGTTTTTTCTTTGCCTGAGAGCAGAAAAGGCCGTCAGGGAGAACCAAGCATCCGGCAGGTTTAACTCACGGTTTTCCTCTGTGAGATGGAGCGAAGAACCTCAGAGCAGCCACCAAGAGCTGCTGACAGCTATGACCCTATAGCTGACACCCAGAAAGAAAGGGACCCCCCACCCCACCCCGCCCCATGCTACAAGCACACGGACCTGACCTCTGCCAATACCTTGAAAGAACCTGAAAATGGGTTCATCCTCAGAACATTCTGGGATCATTTGTTATGCAACAATGGAAAACTAATGCAACACCCAGCTGCGTAGAGGAGTTCTAGCCCTATTTTACAAGTGAAGAGGCCCTGAGGAGGTGAAGTCATTTGCTCAGGATGACACAGCACAAATAGTGACAGGACTGAGCCACAGCTGGAGCCTGGGCAAGCAGTTGGCAAACATTTTCTGTAAAGGTTCAGATAGCAAATTTCTCAGGCTCGAGAAGCCTGGCTTGAGCCACCCCTTTCACAAAACTGAATGTCAGGATCCCATGGCCATTTGATGTTAAGGAAGGAGTTTTCTTCCAACCTGGGGGACATGGGCTGTGTTCCTGGCAGGGGACACAGCAGCCCACCATTGTATAGCCCATGCTGTCTACAGCATACACACATGGTGGACCTACTGTGTGCTGCTTTGAGATGGCGTGGGGTGGGGAGGACCTGAGATGTCCATACCCACCCTTCAGATGTGATGGGCAGTAGGGGAACCAGATATGTAAGCAAAGAATTAGAATGTTCATGATAAAATATGTTAAATGAAAAAACAGTGTGCAGTGTGTAGTCGGATTTTTGTAAAAGATAAACATCTGGAAAGTTATATCAAATGTTACAAAGGTTGATTGTCTGGGTGGCTGTGAGTCCTAAGTCCTCCAAGGACAGGGACCTTCCCTGGAGGCAGGAAGTAGAAAGGAGGGAAGGAAAATCTCTCCCAGAGATATCCTGATTCTTTCCTTGCTTCTCTTCCACGTACAGACTAAAAAATTATAGCAGCCAAGATTACTAAGCACTTACTATGAGCCACTGTTGCTAATCATTACATAGTCACTCATTTAATCCTCAAAGAGGCCCCCAAAGAGGCCTGACTGATTCTAGGGCTTTTTTATCAGTGCTTTTCCAAGTGTGGCTATATTTGGGAAATGTTTTTCTTCCTTTTTAGGATTGGAACTATTCTTTATCTCTGAAGGGGCATATTGTGGTTTCTTTTGATTTATTACTAGTTTCAAATTTTTCTGAAATGTCCAGCTATTTCCTTTCATTGGAAAAAATAGAAAGACAGCACGTGATTTTGTTTGTCTACGTGCTCAGGGCCATGATGGAAGGATCTGTAAAGTCTGGTGCAGTCGAGCCCGGAAGAGGTACCAGAGCCTTCTGTTTTGAGGAGAAGTCACCCAGAGAAGGTGACCTGTGACCTGAGTTTCAGGGGCAGTGCATGAACTTACCAGGTGAAGCTGGTGAGAAGGTCCTTTGTGGCCAAGGTGTGGCATTGTTACTTGGGACAGAAAGAACAGTGAATTCAGGAGTGACATGGGGTGGAGAGTATAGGAAATGAGGCTGGGAAATGACCAGGGTCTTTGTCATAGGCACATGGATGCTTAGGAGCTGGGGTCATTATTCTAAGGCAATGGGGAGTCATTGAAAGGTGAAGGCAGGTGAGGGACTGATTGGGACACCAGTAAGGAAGCTCAAAGTGGGTGTATCATGAAGGGCAGGCAGCTTGGAGATAGAGAGAAGGTGAGGGGCAATAGCAGCAGCCCAGGCTACAGCTGAGAGGGGAAGCAAATAGCGCATAGGTGTCTGGACGATTCTGATCATGTGGATTTCAGCACCTCCTCGCCCCACTCCCACTTAGTAGCTGTGAACCCCAGGGGAATCTTTGAATCTTTGAATCTCCATGACTTAGCAGAGGCAGCAGTTAAAGGGCAAAGCACCTGACTGGTGATGTGCGATAAGTGGGTACAAGTACTGGCCCTCTTCCTTCCCCACTGATGCAAGAGCTGGTGACCACTTTTCTCCCCGGAGTCACCCAGCAGGTGCCAGAGAACCTGAGGCTCTTGTGCATAGAGGATGTGCACGCAGATCTGAGCCCACGGTGCCCACCACCTTGCCTGCGCATCAGGCAGACCTGAGGGCTGGGCCAGTTTTTGAAAAGCAGAGACTAGGAAGATGGAGCCAGACTAGGTCCTTGGATTCCAATCAGCATCCAATCGCAGTCCCCTGGAGCCCTGCTATGCTGCCTGTCCAGGTCCTGAGCCAGATCACACCTGCTCCCTAGCCTCAGGGAGGTCACCACAGACCAGGGGAGAGTCATGGAGAGAGCCTCTGTGCAATGAGCAGACCCAGGCCAGCTCCTCAGGGTTCAGGTCTTCTTCAACCCTAATAGCGCCCCTGGGAGGAGGTGTCCTTGTGTCCATGTCCAGAGCAGGACATGACCAGAGTCCTCTAGGCTGGGAGTAACTGAGGCAGGAGGGGAATTATGACTTGCCAACTCCTGGGTCTGAGTTTCCAGTGTGGGCTGCGGGGTTAAGAAGACCTGGGCTTGGACCTCAACCTCACCAACCTCTGACTCACTTCAGGGACAATGGGCAGGGAGGGGACACCCATCCTTATCAATGAGGGTCCTATACCCTGCATGGACACCTGTCCCTGCAGAAACGAGGGGTGCTGAAAGCTCAAACTTCCCACACACATTTCCCCTGAGCCCACAAGGGCTCCAAGGCATCTGCTGGTGGTCTTTGGTCTTCAGCGAGACGGTTCCCACCTCCAAACTTAGCAGAGAAAAGTCAAAGGAGTTCTGTCCGGTCCCTGACCCAGTTCAGCCACTTCTGAGCTTCTTAGCCTTGCTCAGGCATTTGCCTCTCCCTGAGCCCCAATTGCCTGATGTAAAGGGGGGCCATTTATACAAACCACACACATAAAGAAGATGAAAGGTTTAGGCAGGTGAGGGACCAGATGCTCAGTGTTCAGAAAACTCTAATGCTCTTGGATTGAATAAAGACTTCCCAGCCACCGACCTTGCTGTGTGATACAGAGACAGAGGTTTCCCCGCTCTGAGCCTCAGATGCTCCCTGGACAGGCTGCCCTGATCCTTAGTATCTCTGAGCTAGGAAGAGAGTTGATCACCACCAGCTTGTTGGGGAACCTGTGGCCACCGCTGAGGGCCATCTAGCCCCAAGTTTCCAGTCGGATGCATGTTGCAGTATCAGGACCCACCAGAAGTCCCTCAAGATTTTTCCAGCCTGTGACTATCCAGCTTTGCACAGGTTGCTGCTGTTGAGAGCTGGAGCTGGCTTCTGAAACTACTCAGGTATCCTTCCACAGAATCCACAGAACCCCGACTGCCACATGCAGGGGGCCCTCCTTCCAGGATCCCAAATCACCTGTTCACAAACGCTGCCGGTAAACTTACTCTCTGCTTCACTTAAATACCCACAGGCTTCTGATACAGGAGGACGTCTGGGTGGACGAGTCAGCTCCCCCACTCCAGCCCTGGCCTTTCAGGCTGGGCAGGTGATCTCAGGTAGAGGGAGAACATCAATGCTTGGCATCATTACTGAGAATTCCTGCTGGCCAGAATGTGTCAGGGAGGGTCCTGGGGGGCTTGCTCTCCGATTGACCCCTGTTCGAAATAGAAAGCTGATTTGTTTCCAGGTCCTGCAGGACCTGGAAACACTTGGACAGTGGCTTTCCCTCAATGGGCCTCAGTTTCTCTTTCTGTAAATGGGATTGAACAGTCCTGGGCAAAAGAGTCCTAGAGCTCTCTCGGCTGAGCACTGATGGCTCTCCCAAGTGTGTCTCCATTCCCAAGCCCGCCTCTGTGCGTTTGTGGGGTGTGACGGCTCCAAGGGTGGACAGTTCCCAGACCTTCCCCGGGGGGTTCCGGCCCAGCGAAGCTCCGAGGCTCCCCACAGCGCGCTGAAACCCCCGAATCCCAGCCGGTCCCCGTCGCGCTGTCGCTTTAAGGTCGGGCGGGGCGGGCTGGGCGACGGCGGGGCACCTGGGGCCGCCCAAGCCGGGCCACCCCGAGTCTCGGCGGGGCCAGCGGCGAGGGCGCGGACCGAAGGAGGCGAGGGGCGGGCAGCGGGAGCGGACGCGACGGACGCGGCTGGCGGCGCGCGGCGGGCGAGAGCCCGGGACCCGACGGGGAGAGGGACCGCGGGGCGCTCCAGCTGTCCTGCCTTCCCGCTGCCACCATGTCTTCAGGCCCACCGGGTTCCCCGCGGGCAGACCGCGCCTGACGCCTGTCGCCAGATGGCCGCGTCCCAGGTGGGTGCGATCCCTTCTCTCCCTGCTTAGCCACCACCTCCCSGTGGTCTAAGGCAGACCCCTCCTGGACCCCTCCCTCTAACCTTGATCGCTTGTGGCTGGACGCCCCAGTGCACCCCTGCGTTCTAACTTGCTGGGTGGCCTTAGGTGGTGACACTCAGGGCCTCAGTTTCCCCAGCAGTTAACATGGGAATGGATTGGGCCACTTGTTCAGATGGTTTCTTCTTTACAGAAACTGGAACTTATCGTGCCCTTATTGGTGACGTGGGGTGGCAGCGGTGGCACAGCGCATCCCTCCTTGCCGCCAGCCCCAGGGCAGGTACAGCATCTCCTCCCAGTTCTCCCGACAGGAACAGGGCTGTTTACTAGGGGACTCATGGTCCCACTGCTGCCTTGACAGGGCCAGAACCTAGACTCAGGCTGTCCTGCTCCTGGTGGGGCTGGAGGGAGGGCCTTCCCGTTCTAAGTGCTGCTGTGGAGATAAAAACCCTAACAGTAGGAGAAGGAGTAATTTTTTGTGTATTTTAATTCTCTGGGTGCTCTCCTGTTTTGGTGCCCATTTTATAGAGTATGAAGAAGCTTGCCCACTGTCAGAGCAGGGTCCATCGTTTTCCCTGCTCTGCCTCGCCAGCTTCATTTGTGGCCTGCAATTCTCCTTGGCATCACGGGCTCCCCCCACGACCCCCAGAGGCCTGCTCAAGGTCCAGAGCTAGCAGAGCCACTGCAGTGAGGGGGAGCCATCGGTGGGGAGGAGTGCCCTCATGCAGAGGCTCAGATCTCTGATCCCTCTGGCTGCAGGGAGGTGGGCAGAACTTCAGGGAGGGGGTGGTGTTGGGGCACCGTAGCCAGTGACATGGGGTGGATGTGGGAGCAGAGGACTCCCTAGGCAGAGGGAGGAGCAGGTCTAGCAGAGACCCCCAGGTGGCCAGAGTTTGAGTGAAGGTGGGGGAAGGGCAAGAGGAAGATGGGGGGCCTGCGGTAGGAGAAGCAGGTCAGGCTGGGAGGCCCCACTGAGTGGGGATTGGGGTGGGACTTCTTTGGGACTGGAGGAGCTTCCTGCCTGCCCCCTAGGGTTTGGGGTTACACCCTCTGGGGCAGGGAGCCCTGTCCTCTGCCCCCACAGGGTACAGGCTCTGGAGGTGTACCAGTGTGAGGGGTGGGTAGACTGTCTGAGGATCACCTCTCTGAGATGGCGGTCTTGGGACAGGACACCTTGATGAGAATCAGTCAGAGCCCTGATTTATAATAATAAAAGAACCTTAGCACTGCTGAGCAAGCTGTCCTTCATCCAGCGGACACTGACACCCTCCAGCTTCCTAGATGGCAGGTTAGCAAGTGCCCTGCCTGCTGTGGGGATCCACTGGGAGGGAGGGAGACCCACACAAGCGGATTACCACACGCTATGTGAGAGCACACTCAGGGTGATTGCAGGCCTTTGAGGAGGTGAGCAGGAAGGAGGGCAGAGTGTCACCCATGTCCGAGGCTTACAAATACTTATGGCATGGTTTCACCTGCAGCCATTTAGCAAATACATGGACATAGCTGTGTACCCACAAAGGGATTTGAATCAGATACTGGGCCCCAGTGTTCCTGGGACATAACACTGTTGAAGTCATTAAGTGAGGGGACACCCATAAAGTGCTTGGTGTGGTGCCCAGCTCACCTCTGCTGCCCCTGTCATTATGTACACAGGCCAGGAAACTGCAGGATAGAAAACCTCTGTACCAGACCATGCTCCTCTTGAGGGCAGGATTCATGCTAGTTTGCATTTTGCTTCCCTTTACATTGAGCAACTATTGTTTTCCTAGAAAGTAAAAAAGCATCAAAGGTGACCTCATGCAGGTGTGCCCAGGTGTGAGAACCAGGCTGTATCTGGCTGTATCAAGAAGGTCCTTCACCTTCTTGAGCTGAATCCGTTAATTTGTAAAGTGGGAATGTTTGCCTGTCCTGTCCACCTGCCTTGGTTGAGGGGAGTCATGTCACCAGACAGGGATTCTGGGGAGGACCCTCCAAACAGGAGAATGGAATCTCCACTCAGCCTGGGCAGGTTCTTGACTTAACCACTGAGAATTCAGACTCATCAAAAGCAAGGCACAAGCAAAGATTTATTTAAAGACAGCAAAGTGTCTATACCCAAAGACGATGTGGGCACCTTCACCTCTCGGAGAAGAGGAGACAGGCGATGTGCCCTGGGCTGAGCTCTGTGATTATGAATGTGATTTTCCTGGGAAGAAATATGCAGGTTCTCAGGCAAGCTTCTTTGAAAAGCAAGACCCGTGATAATCATTCTATATTTGGGGTTCAGAGTGTTTCTCTTTGGTCAAGCAGTTTAACCATAAATCACTTGTGGGCACATTGTATAAGTCTTTGAATCTGGTGACACTTAATTATGTTTTTGTTCTAGTTGATCCATTACAGGCACACACTGGAGGTGTTTTCCATCTAAGGGGAGGGACAAGCATGGCTGGCCATGGACCCGGGTCTCTGTCTACTCAGGGTCTCTGTCCCTGTCTCCCTGAGTCCGTCTCCCTCAGGCAGATGAGGCGCTGGGGGAGAAGAGAACTGTCAATCACCATGACATGCAGGGAAGAAGTTCTGCTTTGCTTGTGGGGTTCTCCATGCTTTGTTTTTCAGTGACATCGGAGAAGTAGGTGTTGTGAGTAGGTCCCTTCTGCTCACATTTGGCCAAGCTTGGCTTTTTAATAGGTTATTATTAATTATTGCATCTAGAGATTATACCATAGATCACGGACCATATTGTTATAGTGGACATTTTAGGCTCTTTATGAGCAGCATAAACAAGCCATGGTGAGTGTCCTTTTGTACAAAATCTTGCTCCATATAGTGATTTTCAAACTTTTTATGCTTGTCCTGGGTCTTCGTGTCATCCCCTGTCAAGTGGAGATAACAGCAGGACCTCACAGCCTTGTAACCAGATGAGATAAGGCAGAGCCTAACCAGCAAGTCCTGGTCCTGGCAGGCCAGGGGCCCAACAGGTGCACACTCTCCACCCTCCCATTTGTCCACAAGGTCGTCATGTTGGGGAGCCTTATGCCCACCAGGCCATGAAGCCCTTGAGAGGCACAGAGTGCGTGTGGCTCTCTTACTGGGCTCCTACTGTGTCCCAGGCACAGCTCTAGAAACCTGATAAACATTATCTGTGACCCTCAAAGTAGCCCTGCAAAGTCAGGGCAGCATCCCCATTTCACAGGCAAGGACACTGAGACCCGGAGGAGCCTGATGAGCTCTCCAAGGCTGCACAGTGACCTTAGGCAGAGGAGGACTAAAACCCAGGTCCCTGGTTACCTCTCACACTCCCATTTCCTTTTCTGTCTTTCTGTCCAGACCTGTGACAGGGGCCGAGTGGCCTCCATCCTCCGCTATTGCATGACGATCGGCGGCATGGTGTTTCTGGTGGCCGGGACGCTCTGCTTCGCTTGGTGGAGTGAAGGGGATGCAGGTGCCCAGCCTGACCAGCGGGTCCCACCTGCTGAGCACGCCGTGTCCCAGGCCCCTAGACCCCTGCTCAGGTCTGTCAGCTTCTTCTGCTGTGGAGCAGGTGGCCTGCTGCTGCTCTGCGGCCTGCTGTGGTTCCTCAAGGCCAGCAGGCCGGGGCCACCCCGGTGGGACCCATACCGCTTCTCCAGAGACCTGTATTACCTCACTGTGGAGACCTCGGAGGAGGAGAACTGCAGGTCAGTGGGGCGGGGTGGGGACCTTAAGCGACTGGTCATAGTCACACTATTCAGCATTTTCTCAGTAAGTTCTCCTGAGGCTCTTTCTCTGGACCAGGCCCTTCCCTGTGTCCCAGGTTGATCAGTGGGTCTGTACTGACCTGAAGGAGTTTAAAGCCCCTTCAGCAGATGACAAGCCAGAGTAGTTAGAGCTGTGTGAGAGAGACAGACACGTCCCCTGGGGACATGGAAAAATCCAGGCAGGCTTCCAGGAAGAGGTGAGCTCAGTGGCATAGCAGAGGAGTTTAGAACTCAGGCACAGGAAGGATTCAGGTCCACCAGGATCCTGTCCCAGTTCTATCACTATCTAGCTGAGGGACTTCAAGTCACTCACACCCTTGCTCCATAAGCCTCAGCTTCTTCATCTGAATTTATAGTAACGGCAACAACAATAATAGCACGTGCCTGTGTGGTACCTGCCATATGCCGCTATTCATGGTGACACCGTCAGTCCTCATGGTGGCCCTCTGAAGCAGCTACTGCTATTTTTATTTTTTGGTAGCAGGAAATTGAACCCAGGGGCACTTAACTACTGAGCCACATCCCCATCTCATTTTAATTTATTTTTTATTTTGAGACAGGATCTTGCTAATTTGGTTAGGGCCTTGCTAAGTGGCTGAGACCAGCCTTGAACTTATGATCCTCCTGCCTCAGCCTCCCAAGCTGCTAGGATTACAGGAGCGCACTTCTGCACCCAGTCAGCTACTGTTTTTTTTTTAAATATTTTTTTTTAGATGTGTAGACCTTTATTTTATTATTTACTTATACGTGGTGCTGAGAATTGAACCCAGTGCCTCACACATGCTAGGCAAGCGCTCTACCACTGAGCCACAGCCTCAGCCCCCAGCTACTGTTTTTAACTGCTTTCCATAGAAGAAGGAAACCCAGGCACCAAGTCATTAAGTAACTCGCTCGGGAACATCCAGCTAGTGTGTCTCAGAACTGGGACTTGAACACAGGCAGCCTCCCCACACTCCTTGTGAAATGAAATGATGTGATGTCTACGTAGAGTGTAGCCCAGTGCCCGGCACACAGTAGGTGCACAGGAAATATCAACTTTCCCTCAAGGGGACAGGTATGTGCAAGGGCCCAGGGCAGGGTGAAGACAGATGCTGCATGAATTTCTCATCCTGTTGGCCCATGATTGCTGTCATTCTGGCCTTTTAGGACATTTTTTCCTTACTTCTCCATGAAATGTGACTCCCATAGAGGCCTCTCTGTGTGTATTCTGTGTCTACGTCTGTGCTCTCTTCCTAAAAGGAACATCACCCAGCCCCAGAACCAGTTTTGCCCTGGTGAGCCTGCCTGAGGGACACATGCCCTTCTTAATGTCCTTATTTATTCAACAAACGACCTGGTGTGCCACACCTCAGGGGCCTGGCTGCATCATCTGTCCTTTGGTCCTTCTGTCCATCTAGGGCGCCCAGGATAAGAATTACTATTGCCATGTGCAAGGCACAACTTGAAAGTGGTGGGAGCCTGCTGGCTGCACAGCTGTGTCCCCCCTCCCACGCCACCCAGCGCTGGATTTGGGCACAGCTGGGGCTCACCCAGATTCCTGTGAACCGCCCCTCTTCCCTTTGTTAGAGGGCAGATGAATGTGCTTGTTCCTGCTCTGGCCAGACAGCACTCAGCACAGCCACTGAGCCCAGGAGTCAGCCCGTGGGTGGGGCTGACTGTTAGAGGGAGAGCTATGGCCTTGGGGACCACCCAGCCAAACCCCGTACTTCTCAGATGAGACTCAGAGGGACCTAGTGACTATGGGACGAGGAGCCAGGCCAGGCGTTGGCATTCTGGACAGGCACAGGCAGGGAGGGGGTGTTTTCTGTACACACAGCTGTGTTGAGGCAACAGGGTCCAGGCCACGGCTGCACCTTTCAGCCTTCATTCTGAGCAGACTGGACACCCACCAGGAGGCTGAGGACGGCTCCTGGCCAGCAGGCTCTGACATCCGAGTGTCGGATCCTGAGGCTGGGCTGGCTGCATGTCGAGGAGGCTCTCCTGCTAGTGTGTTCCTTTCCGTCCCTGTGGCTGGCCAGCCCAGCTCTGCAGCCTGGGGAGCCTGCAGCTGGCTATCGGGTTGTGCCTGTCTCCAGGGACCTCAATCTCTGCCGGTGCCCGGCTGTGGGTACATTTGGGTCAGAGACACAGGCCTCCTTGGTCTGGGCAGGTTTATTCCCCTGTGATGCCTCAGTTTCCCCACTTCTCACCCACTTATTCTTTCCTGCATTTAACTGATGTGTATGGAGCACCTACTGTGTGCTGGGTCCTATTCTGAGGGCTGATGATGTCGCAGTGGACAAGAGAGACAAAACCCCTGTCTTTAGGAGCTCACAGAGGACATATAAGCCCCCTCCACAAGGTGGTACATGGGGCCTCCCAGGGGCCCCATCTGCAGTGGGCACAGCAAAAGGCCCAGGGCTACTCGGAAGCCAAGTGTTTTAGTCCCTGCTCCTTCTTTTGTAAATTGCATGTCTATGAACATTAACCGATTTTCTGGGTTCCGTCTGATTCCTCATCTGTCAGCTAGGGGTGACAGACCTGGTCCCTGAGACTCAGATGCGCTGAGTGATGGGGAGGTGTACGCTGTAAGGCTCGTGTACACTCTGGCTTTCCCTGCTGTGACCGTGCTTACAGCTGGCAGTGTCCTCTCGTGCCCACTCACTGACTGGAGCCTCAGCTGCCTCTGAGGTGTGTGCAGGGATTAGGCCCATTTTACAGAAGAGAGGGCTGAGGTGTGGGGAGATGGGTTGACTTGGGAGAGAAGGGTGACACTGTGGGGTTAGCTCCAGCTTTGCAGTCAGGCAAGGTGGGGACTTTGCCACCTAGTTGATGTGTGAGCATGACTCACTTATGAAGGGGTGGATGCTGTCCCTCCCTCCAGTGGTCATGAATGTGAAATGAGATTGCAGAGCTCAAGTGTTAGGCAAATGGTATCCCACTTAGTGCTAAGCCCCAGGTCTCCTGCCCTGACCAGGCTTCAGGCAAGTCCCGGCCTCCATGGAGCCTTCTGCGCCTGGGGACTGTTGTGGCAGGGCTGCCCCAGCGAGTGCTGGGTCGCTGGATCCAGAATACACACACCATGAATGGAGCCTGCCCCAGGGTGTGTGACTTGGCTGCCCTGTGCAGGGCCTGTGTTCCCCAAGTTCCTGGCAATTATGGACCATGACCTTGGAGATTAAGTGCTAGTGGGTCCAGCTGGCCACCGAGGTGACAGGAGGTGGTGTTTAGGGCCGCTCCACATCTGCCCTGTAAGCAAACTTCCTGCTGTAGGCTGAGCTCACAGGGCCCCTGGGCCCTGCCCTGCCAGCTGTCCCCCTCAGGGCTTAACTAACCTGGAGAGGGCAGGCAATGACCAGAAGGTGAACAGGCCAGGAGATGTGGGGGCTCTGGAAACCCCACTACTTACATTTTTCTGAGGGCTGACAAAGCTTCTCCGCATTTTTCCTTCCCTGCATCTGTGCAATGGGAATTATTATCCCATTTTACATGGAGGAGAAAAGGGTTCAGAGACTGTGTGTGCGGGGAGCAGGTCACATAGCAAGAGAACTCAGCTTGCCTGACACCAGGAGCACTATTCTCTGTCTTGCCCTCTCCTGCAAAGGCCTCTGGGTGCTCAGAGAGGGCGAGGGCCCTGCTGGCTTCCTCAGCAGGGCTCCTGGCTGATGTCCTGTGTTCTACTACCACCCCGGCTGGGTTCAAATCCAGGTTTCCATCAACCTGCTCGGTCACCCTGGTCTGTGATGCGGAGCAGTGAGCCTGCTTCCCTGGTGGCTTGGACCAAGAAGACATAGTACCTGAGAAGGCTGTGTCCCCTGCAGGTGCTGGGTGCTTCCTGGAGGAGGCAGCAGCCAGTTCCCAGCCCAGGTCCCTGGTGTGTAATCCCATCCCCCACCTCTTCTGTGCCCTTTGCTGGCCTCCTGCTACTGGCCCCTCCCTGGTCTCCACAGCAAGACCACTGGTGAGGGGGAAATTGATTCCCCAGCCAGATCCATGCTGACCGAGGACAAGCTCCTCAGCCTTTCTGATGAGAGGTCCTGGCCCCACCGCTCCTTGAAGCCCTTTGACATATGAATGGCCCCTATTGGTGCAGCATGTGCTACATGACTTCTTGCATCATCTGACTTCGTTTTCACACCATCTGATGAGGTAGATGCCATTATTATCCCCATTTGACAGATGGGAAAAATGAGGTCCTGAGTAATGGAGTTACTGAGCCAGGATCTCCCACCCAAAACGTGGCAGAGCTGTGGATGAACCAGCCGGTGCTCAGAATCAGGACCAGCTGAGGGACTCGGTGTCAGGACTTTCAAGATCACCTAGTCAGTCCCGTATCTGTCAGTGTCCCCCAAAGCTGTAGCAGCCTGGCCACAGACCAGTGACCCTCCCACCCCGCAGGCCTGGGCAGGGAGGCACCTGACCCTTGGAGATGAGCTACCCACCAGGGCCCTGAGAGGCAAGAGCCAGTCTCAGTCCTGCCAGTGTTGGTGTGGCTTGTTCTTGGAACCTGGCCTGCAGAGCTTCAGAGGACCTGGTCTTTGTCTCAAGTCCCTGAGGGTGGTTCAGTGGCTCAGGGTGGGGGTGGGGAACAGGCTCACAAAAGCTAAGCCTTACCAGGGTAAAGATGGTGGGCTCAGGAGGTGGCAGACTCCCACTCCTGGAGGTGGGCACATAGAAGTAATGTCCGGGCAGGCCTGCCATAGCTAGGCCCCAAGCACCCAGAAGTCCCACTCTGCCCTGAGCCTTGCAACTCTGATCTTGCAAAGGATATTTCGGTCAGCTGTCCACGTCTTCCTGTTCATGGAGCATGGCTCAGTGGCCCAATGACATCCCTGAACTCATGCCCTCTGTCCCCCTCTGCCCTGGGACAACTGGGCAGTGTCTGTGCAGTGACAAGGAAGAGCACCATAAGGACAGAGCCAGGAGTGGGAGCTTGACCTGGGGAGGGACACATCAGAAAACATCATGAGGACCCTCAAAGGACAAGCGGGGACAGCGCAGCAGAGGAGCGTGCTGGGGAGAGCCTTTCCTGGCAGAAGGACCTGAGGCGGCAGGAGGGCAGGCTGCGCATGCCCAGTATCAGCTGTGTACACGGGCACGCAGGGGCTGCACGGATCTGGACCGTGAGCTTGGTGCAGTAGCGCAGGCTTGTCATCCCACCAGCTCGGGAGGCTGGGGCAGGAGGACTGCAAGTTCAAAGCCAGCCTCAGCAATTTAGTGAGGCCATGTCTCAAAACATAAAAGAGGGGGGAAAAAACGCCAAAACAAAACAACAGGCAGGGGTTCAATCCATGGTTTAAAAAAAAAGATCTGGACTGCGGCATGAAGCCTTCCCCACCTCCCGCCCCCGGCAGGTTGCAGGGTCTGTCCTGGCCTGGGCTAACAGCCTTTCTTCTTTCTGTAGGACCCCAAAGGTGGTTGCCATCCCTACCTACGAGGAGGCCACGCACTGCCCACTGGCTGAGGGGTCCCCAGCACCAACTGTGTGCCCCAAGGAAGAAGGCCAGAAGTGTGGCGACGCAGGGGATGCCCTGCTGGGGACTCCGCCCCCCTTGGCTCCGCCCAGCTATGAGAGCGTTTTCCTTGCTCTTGATGGCTGTTCTGGAGACACAACACCTGCTCCAGGTGCTGCATGCTCCTTCCCAGGCCTGGCTCAGACTGCAGGGCGGGATGGGGCGAGTTACAGGCTCCTCGCAGGCCCTGAAACTTGCGACAAAAGTGATGTGTCATTTCCAGGGTCTCCTCCAGTGCCTGATATGCAGTAAGCACCTAACCATATGCTGTTTTAAGTGTCTATTACTGTGTAACAAACCACCCTAAAATTCAGTGAGTTAAAATAAATTCTATTTTATTATGTCTCACAATTCTGTGCCTGGTTGGTTTCCGTAGTTCTTCTGCTCCATGTAGTATCTTAGAGGGTGCAGTCATCAGGGGCCCAACTGGGACAGAATATCCAAGTTGGCATATTCACAGGGCTGGTGCCTGGTGCTGGCTGGCATCTAGAAGAAAAACAGGGCCCCAGAGGCAGAGGTGGAACTGGCCCAGGATCACACACCAAGTTTATGACCAAAAGAACATGGACTTTGAATCCAGACCACCTGTGTAGGGATCCCAGCACATTCCAACCTTGGTGATGTTGGACAGTAGCCTTCCCTTTCTCTGCCTTGGTTTCCTTGTCTGTAAAGCAGAGTTGAGAATCACAGTGGCACAAGCCCCACCTCGGACTGCTGAGTTGGGGATGGCAGCAGTGGATACAGAGAGCTTGCATGGAGCCTCAAGCTCAGCGCCAATGTGGTGCATAATAAATGCAGGTTTTCTAGGTATGCAAGCTTTATTAATAGAGGTAATATCCCTTTACCAAGTGCAGATGCCCCTGCTGCACACCTCCTGCTTTCCAGATGTGCCAGAGGTATCTACTTCCTGTCCAGCTACATTCTGCAACTCGAAGGCTCCACCCCACCCCACTTCCAATGAGAAATCCAACTCGATGAGGTTACCTGACCTTTTCAGCAAGCAGGGGTTCCAAGGCTGTGGGAGGCCATCCTTGTACATGATTTGAGTTACCTCCCTGGCTGGGTGAGAGGCGCTTAGACACAGCTGTGTTATAGCTATTCCCCACCCTTCTCCAGGTCTGAGGGCTTATCCGTGCAGAGTGCAGAGGCATGTCTGGCCACTGCCCCAAAGACCCAATCGTCGCCCCTGACCTTGGGATGCTGCCCCCCTTAACCTTCATTGGATGGGATTTTCCCTGGAATTTTTTGTTCCCCAATAAAAGTCC